TAAATTTTGAGAAATTTCACGTGTCAAAAAGCCCCCATTGATGCAACGCTATGATCGAGTTCCGATAAATACTCGGCTTGACAATCTCTAAAAAAACACTATATAATCTTAGAAATTATATCAAATAACAAGGGTAAACATGAAAAAAGCAAAAGATATAAAATAACAATAGATGGGACCGAATGGTCACAGATAAAGTTGACACCCCCAGGTCCATAATTATGACGAACCCTGGATATCAGATCAGTCGTGTCGGTTCAATCCATTTGGAGGTCCAACTGAGCCAAGCTAAAGCGATGCTCAGACCAAAGGACAGACCAAAGACCAAAATCTGATTAAAGAAATGTAAAATTTACTCCCAAGAACAAGTCCCGATTCAGTTAGTAAAGCATTACTGTTCACTTACAGAATGAAAACGCCGGCCAATTTGAAAAGGAAACATTTGTGGACATCGACCACAAAACGAATCGTCATCACTCAAATTGTTATTCTTTTGCGTGAGTGCTTTTTTGGGAATCAAAAGAAGTCTTTTTAGCAAAGTACATCTACGTGAGCTTCACGGTGTACTGGTATTTGATGAATTTCTTCCCGACTCTGAATCTTCCGCCTCTCAACATGAGCCTTTATTTTCTGACAAACAAATTTCAAGCGACTGGCTACGGAGTCTTGGCTACAATCGCCATTCTCATTTGTTTTCCGATGGTGAGGGTTATTGCTTAGTTTTTGAAAGTTGCCAGTTGTTAAAACTGTTAAAACCTTGTGTCTAATTGAGACTGAACATAAGAAACGTTGTTGGTACACACAAGGCCATTCGTTTCAAATAGATAAGAAGTTATTGTTTGTATTGTTGGAATCTTGTTGCAAGAAAGAAACCTTTTTAGACACTTCAAGCAATGAAGGGACTCTTCTGGTGTAGGCGTTTACCAAACGAGAGATCTGTGGCATCTTGGGAATCGGCGAGAAACGAGCGGCCAAGATCGGTGGCCTCGTTGCGTGGCGCACAAATCCACATTTCTCATGTAACTTGATCATACTTTTCGATTTACGATTTCGATTACTTTTATCTTCATTTTTCTTAGTTTTATTAAATAAACTCCAATGTTTAGCCAAGAAAAAGAACAGATTTAACGAAAGAGTTTTAAATTCAAAACACAAACCCAAACTTCTCGAAAGGCTTTGAAAACAAGGTTAAAATTAACTGAACCGATTCGATTCGATCTGTGACGTCACTTTGAATGTATGTCTCAAAATTAAATGTTAATTTGTTTTTGTTAAATGATAATTTTTGATGCTACGTTGCTTTTCAATTGACTCAATTGTCGTCACCACGTTGCGTCGCGTATTCGCTCCCTTTTTAACTGCAAAATCATTTTTCTTGTCAGTTTTTATTTTTTTTAAGTGTTAATAGTTGATAATTTGTGTACAGGGTGGCTGAAAATTACGTGCGCCAAAGAAAACGCCATAATTTAATTTTCTTTCAAAGAACATGTAAAAATATTTATTTCTATAATAGTTGGAACAAAAGCATTTAATAATTACAAGAAATTTTCGAAGTGGCCTCCATCCGCTTTGATACAGGCTTCAATTCGCTTCTTTACAGAATCGACGGTGCGGTGGAGATAATTTGCATCTAAGTCGTTCCAGATTTTGATCAATTCTCGACGTAAATCATGCAAATTGTTGATTTTCCTATTTCTCAATTGTTCTTCCATAAAACCCCAAACCGAAAAGTCCCACGGATTGAGATCCGGGCTGTTTGCAGGCCATTGATCCTTCTTCAAAAAAGAGCCAATTTTGGTTTCGAGAAAGCGAATTGTGGTTTTGGCTCTGTGGGCCGGCGCCCAATCTTGTTGAAGAGTCAAATTCGGATGGCTCCTCTTCCACGGCACCTCAGCTTTCTCGAGAATCTCTTTTTGATAGACTTTTGCGTTAATCTTTTATCGATAAAAGCCAACGGGGTCTTGCCCGAAGCACTGATTCCACCGCAAACCATCAAACTTTTTGGAAACAGACCTTTTGTAGCGACTTTTCGTGTGCTAGTGCTCTTGAGAGCTGGACTAAGAAGTTGACGGTGATTTTGTGGATTTTTAGCCACTTCCAAGGTGAAAATCTTCTCATCCGGCCAAAGAACATCGTCAATGCGCCGCACCTTGAAAAAAGCTCACAATTTCTTGCATTTCTCCTTTCGGTTTTGCTTGGCTTGATCGGTGAGCACTTGCCCGTTTAACAGTCGATAACTTCGAAGTCCGAGCTCATTTTTTACTATCGATTGAACCGACCAACGCGAAACTTGAAGCTGTTTTGCCATCTTGTTCAAACTACAATCGTCTTTTAGCTCATCCTCCTTAGCTCTTTTAGCTTTACGATCTTCTGGACGTTCCTCAGAGCCACCCCAAGCCTCGATGCGATCGACGAGTTCTTCATGCCGCTCGTCGCCAGCTGTGCGATTGCGTCCCGACTAGCGCACGTATTTGTCATGACCTAGACAACAACTTTTTTCAACAAAAAATTAATAGACAACGATAAAAAGAATATTAAAACCCAAAAAGATGAGTAGTAATGCTTTATACATTGTTTAAAACTATGTCAGATGCTGCGCGCACGTAATTTTCAGCCACACTGTATATTTTAGACTTTTAAGCGCCATCGGACGATGAATACAATAACTTGCTTCAACTTGTAGGTACTTTTCCAATATCGGGGGAGCGGTCCGATTATCGGCCGAGCGGAAGGATTATCGGGGGAGCGAAAGGAAAATCGGGGGAACTAATTTTGCCCCCTCGAAAAATGCATTTCCGGAACTGTATTTTAACTGCAACGTTTTTTTTTTACTTTAACGACGATACGTTTCTCTGACATTTGGGCGTTCAAGGAATCGACGGCAATCGATTATTTCGTCACCAAAGGAATCATCCAGTCGTAGATTTGCAACTGTGGCGAATCGATGAAAGTCTGCCCAAAGGGAAAAGATCCATTTCGCTGGGTATGTGACACTTGCGCACGGCAAAAGGTCCCCTAACATTCAAGAGGAATTCGAGTCGATAACTTTTTTGCAACAAAGCAAGCTCCCGTTCGTCACAATTTTAAAGTTCATTCATCTATCGAACCAGGGACTCACGACAATCAAATACTGTCAGCAGGAGCTCGGCATTAGTGGCGACACCGTTGTTGAGTGGAACTACTTTCTCCGCCAAGTGTGCGCTTGGAAAATCAAGAAGCTTTCGATTAACAAGATCGGTGGTGCCGGACTCACCGTGGAGATCGATGAATCGCTGATCGCAAAGCGCAAAAAACACGCCGGTAGGATGCTGCCAGAACGTTGGCTTTTTGGTGGTCTGTGTCATGAAACAAGGGAATGCTTCGCTTTTATTGTGCCAAACCGAACGGCTCCGGTTCTGCTTGAAGCGATTCGAAAACATATCGAAAAGGGGACTTGAATCATCTCTGATGGATGGCGTGCATACCAAGGGTTTCTCACTGACCCAAATTACGATTTTGCATGGGTCAACCACTCGACAAATTTTGTTTTGCGATCGTGCACACGCAAATAATCGAGCGAATGTGGAAACCGTTTAAAGACATGAACAACGTCGACACGGCACCCACGGCACCATGGTGGATTCGTATATCGCTGAGGGATTGTGGCATCGCAATTTGCCTGCCAGAGTGAATGCATTCGCGTCGATCATGGAGGACATCGTCGATTTTTGGCCCGCAGGGGCGGAAATGAATACAATTCCTTTTTACAGTTAATTTGTGATTGCTAGAAAGGTTTTTGTTATGGTTACTTCGTTTACATTTCTTTCGTTTTTATGGTCAATTATACTATTAATGAACAATTTTTTAGGTAGACATTTGTTCGTTCGAGATTGTGGAGCCTTCCGCAAAAAGAGAAGGCGACCGATAGGGAAGGTAAAGGTAGGTTTGGTGTTAGATATTTAAGTCACTTTTGTGATTTAATATAAAGATTGTGAGAATAACGGGTAATTCGCGAATTTTATGGCGGTAGTTTGTATAATATAGGACATACAGTCATGGACAAAAGTCTTGGCGGGTCCTGGGTGGCAACTTTCAAACGCAAATTTAGGAACCTTTCCCAGAGGCTATAAAAAAGTTGTCACAAGTATTTTTGAGCATTTTTTACTCTACTTTTAGCTATGACCAAGCATTGAACTCGAAAGTTTATTTTAAACAACAAAATAAGCGTAAACGACAAAAGTAAAAATAAAAATTAATAATATATTCGGAAACTAGACCACAATGGTAGAATTAGTTGCCAACAAGTTTTCTCTGAAACGCTTATTTTTGCGAAATATTTTTTGTTTTAAGCCTTTGGGAGACAATGGTGCAAGACTTTTTTTGCTGACTGTAAGTAAATACGAAAAGCTTGAGCTCTTGGTGGAAAAAAAAGTGAGTAATCTTTCAACTCACTTCCTCTCGAACAATCAATCAATCAATTGACGTTTCGTATGACCTTGTCATTTTAAAAAACGATTTCAAAAGATCGGTGTAAATAGAGATTGAAAAAACTTTTACAAGGATCCATTGCAGAGAAGATCAAGCTTTCTCTTTCCACGAATTGTCGTTTCTTTCTTCCTTTCAGTTGTTTTCTCCAATTAGTCACCTTTTCTTCGAAACTAGATTTCCGATAAACAAAGTAAAAAAGATTAGCAATCAAAGCATTTTACTTCTCAATAAAAATTGTTTCACAAATCATTTTGCAACCAAAACCTATTCTACCACTACCTATTCATTTATTCGTTTAGAAAGAAAGCTCTTTATTAAAATGCAAAAGATTCAATCAATTGAAAGAAGGTGGATGCCTAAATACAAACTTTTTGTCGCTTTTCTTTTTCTCTTTCTCTTGTTCTTTCAAAATGTGGACGCGAGTTTGACGGTGATGCCTGTGGACAAAGAGATTCTCGTGTATAACTATGCAATAGAAAGGTTTTTTTGATCTTGTTTATTTAACTCAAGCCTTTAGCTATCCTATGATCAGAATGTCAGCTGGGCAGAATTTGAGCCTTCAATGCCAGAGCACAACTGCTAATAAGCTTCGGTAAGTGAATTTCATTAAAATTTAACGAAAATGTTGTTGTCTTTCGAACTTTAATCTTAAGCTGTTAGTCAAAAATTGTTTTTCAAAACTACAAGTGATTTTCTTGTGTAGATGGATGCTGCCAATTGAATCGAATCTCGATTTGGAAGGATTTAGTGAAGAGGATTTCCAAAAGAGAGTCACTGTCGAAAAAGAGGATGAACGGGTAAAATAATGTTGTCTTTAAAAACCATTGTGTAAATTTTTAGAGTCAATTGTTCATTCGATCCCTGGAGCAGAGTGATACCGGGACATACTCGTGTTTGGACGACAAAAACCACACTGATTTTGTCTATGTTTTTGTGGAAGGTAGACTCAATTCAAAGCATTGCATTTTGCAAATTTTACTTTATTTTAAGGTTTATATGATTTTCTAAAGCCCAAAAGTTATACACTCGATGTGACCTCATCAAAATTTCTTCTTCCGTGTCGATACGCGCAAATCGGTCATTGGCGAGTTTGGCCCTCTTTGTTTGTGGACGGAGAGGAATGGCTGAAAGATCGTAAAGAGCGAGATGCTGTGACCTTTGACTCACGGTAAGTTGGCTGGTTCCTCTTAAAACAACACTGTTTACTTTAAGATACGGCTTTGAAATAGATTTGGTGAAACTGAACAGGAGTTTACCGATGGGTAGTGGCCGGTTCCGCTGTGTGGCTTTAAATGGCGATGAAGTTGAGTGGTTTGTGCGGGTTGGCGTCTTTGATTTAGTATTTTGTTATAACCAATTGTTTAGTTTGCTTCAATGCCCGTGAACTCTGTGTCAATGACGATCCCACAATTGGAGGCTATTGCTTTGGCGTTTAACAAACGTCCGTTTGTTTATCATATACTTTCAGCAATGATTTACTGCTTAAAAACTGTAAAAGTACTACTGTATCAGTCTGCAGTACATAGTAGACATGGTTTCTGATCGGACGGAACGGAACGGATCGGATCGAATGGGATTCGATCCGATCCGATCTGATGAATATTGAATCAGAAATCATGTCTAGTGCATGGTTGGTGATATTTACAAACGATATAGGAAAAAATGTGACTGTTCAATGTGATCTGCGATTGGACAATACTACGGGCCAATTTGAAAATCAATTACAAATGCAGTGTCCTCGATGCAGGGAAGAAAATGGAGTAAAAAAAAGTTCGTAATAAGTTTTGTAAAGTATTTTTAGCCAAAGATTCAAAAAGATGTGCAAATTCATGGGAATTCGACGCTCTTCTCATTAAGTGTGATATTTGAGGAGGTTAAATCCGACGATTATGGTCTATACACATGTTCTTGGTACGAAGATTATTGTCTTTCTCTCGAAATTTACTTCAGGCCTCAAAAAGTGGTCAACCAATGGGATGCAAAGACTCAACAAACGTCTCCATTCCGAATCCTTTCCCCATTATACAGAATGCACGTAGGATTTTGATTAAATTTAAAATTGAATCTTTGATGTAGTTTGCCCCACACGCCGAAGTGTTGACTGTTTTTGAAGGAGAGCCCATCAGAATAAAAGGTAACCTTATGCCGAACCTTTTTGACAGAACAAGTTCTTTCAGCAACGATTCTCCCGATAGCGGTCGACTTCGTAAACTACACCTGTACATGGTCGTACACAAGATATGTCGATGTTGGAAGACAAAAAGTTTCCTCTTCGTACGAAACGGCAATGGTGGAATGTGGCAATAGACCATATCTGAAGGTGAAAGCTTTTGAGGCCATTAGATTCGGTTCTTAATCGAAACAAATCGAGCCGAGCGACCGTTTAATCGGTTAGGAACCAACCCGGTATCAACCGGTAAAACCTATTAAAATCGGTTTTCATCGGTTTTACGTTAGTCAAAACGATTCTCTCTTATCGTTCAAGTACCCAAACCAAAGCAAACTGATAAATTTCGAACCGGTTACAATGTTAGTGCCTCAGACAAAAAAAATATTTTGGACATTGTTAACGATTGTCACTCATTGTCAAATAAGCTAATACGATTAGTAAAAGACGTACGATCTTGTAGGTTGATGAAAATGGCAGAGTGGAAAGTTACACCGAAGAGCTCTTCATACCGAGTCACAAACTAGCTCCTGGTGGAACGTGAGTGCAAAAACCAATCAAATTTTCATTTCATTTCATTCGAGCTTTCTAGCTATGAAATCTCATTTCTTGTGAGCGAAGAGCGCTATCAATGGATCGCCTGGAAAGTCAAAGTCGACACTCCAGTGAAAGATTTTACTTTCAACGTGCAATCCTCCGCTCATTTCGTTCAATTCGATAAAGTGTATCACGTGGTAGGTTCAGAGGACTATAAAAAAACTGAAATGTCGATAGAAAATACCTATTGAGAAAATTGTTTCCTTTTAAATCTAAAATTTGTATTAGATTATAAACTAAGTCTTGACCCTAAATTCAAAAAAATATTTATTGACAACTAAAAGAGAAGTTTAATCAAAATGGCCTCCATTATTTGCAATGATTTTCGCCCATAAGGTCAGCAGCAGCAACTGATGTTCTCTGCCCTTTCATGGGCTGAGTGAGGTAGGTTGTGGGGCACCTATTGGCCGTAAATTGGTTTAAAACCAATAGTGTTTTGTAAACAGACCTGTTTATAATCAGAGAAATTTGTATTTATAGATGTAAAAATAACTTTGATATTACCATATATGGCCTTATTACCATAAATAGCCAACAATTTACATACTCACCTGTTTATAATCAGATCTGAGGTTTCCGACTGTTACATGAGAGTATTCAACCTCAGCCGCAAAGAAATTCGGGGGTTTTCGGGACGAAGAATACCTGCATTTCCAAGCTCTAGGTCTACCCGATTGGTCTTGATCGTCGAGAGAAATCTCCTTATTCCTGAATTTGTGAAACCAGTGTTTTATTGTACTTTCGGATAAGTGATCCTCATAACAGGAAAAACAGAGCGCACCCTCACTAAACGTAAACAAAATGTCGAAACTTTCCTGAAGCCGTCAACACTTAGTTTACAACCTAATAAATCTTTAGATTGGCGCAAAGATTCGGCTTGGCTGTCATTCGAGGGGTCACATTGACAAGAACGAAAAACTTCACTTATTTTATCAACGGTAACGATGAGAAAAGGTGGAAGCAATGACTGCTTAAGATCGAATAAAATCGTCCCAGCAACAAGTGTGACCGGAGCGGATGATGTTTTTTGGAACACGGCCGTTCACGAGGATCTCATTGTTGTTTGCAAAATTGTTTCGTTTAGACGGAAAATTTTCTCAAATTCAAACATCTAGGATATCTTCCATCAAGGTTCATTTCATCTCCGAGTCGCCGGTCAACGTCCAGCAGTTTGGATGAAAAGGGATCCAGAAATTAGCGGCGAGGATCCAGTTGGTTACTTGTTGAAATCTCCTTGCAAAGTTCTTTTAGAACAGAGTTTATCGGGGCGATGATATCACACTATTTTGCCGAGTTCACATGTTGGCTGACATGTTGGTTAACAAAATATGCCTTAAATCTATTCATTTACAGCTCAATGTTTTGGATTTACAACAAGACAGTGCTAGATGAAGGCAGCATTGTGCAAAGCATTGACGGGGATTCAGTGCTCTTAAAAATGACAATCAAAGTTTGTTTGTTTATTTGAAAATCAAAAAATGAGTAAAAACATTTTTGCAGATGACAGTGAATACAAATAGCTTGACAGAGCTAGATTTTAGAGCTCGATCTTTTTCTGTTCTTTTTGTTTTGGTAGTTTTAGCCAATTTATGCTACAAATAGAGCTTTCCCCTCCAACTTCAATCATAGAATATTTCGACAAATAACTCTGGTGACTACATTTGCGTTGCAAGAAACACTGAAACCGAACAGGAGTTTAATCAAACAATCGGGCTTGAGGTTTGAGACTTTTTTTCATTTGAAATTGTCTATTATAGATTCATGACATTATAGCACCTGAATTGCTCGTCTATGAAACAGAAATAGTTCATATAAAAGCTGGAGAAAGCCAGCTATTAGACTGCAAAATGACTGGAGATCCGACTCCTTTAATTTCATGGTTTGTTGTTTACAAGAGAAAACTTTGTTTGAAGTGAGCAGAAAACACTGAATGGTTAAAGGTCCAAGAATGGGATTGCAATGAGGGATAGTGAAAGTCTTCTTGTAAATGCTTCAATTGTTCTTCCTAAAGTCGACACCGATGATAGTGGAGTCTATGAATGTGTTGGGAAGAATCGAGTGGGAGAAGTGCGACGGAGCATCTCTCTTGAGGTAATAAGAGACTAGGCTTAGCACTCACAATAATCTACTATATATAAAGGACTACGACGTCTGTCTGTCTGTCTGTCTGTGCGCACTACTCCTCCGTGCCCAGTAGGCCGTTTCGAATAACTTATAGTTAGTTTGGCTTAGAATTTCATGTAGTTATGTAACATGTTTTTAAATTTTGAAAAAACCAAAGTGTCGAGCGCGGGCGGGAGTCGAACCCGAATCGTGCGTCTTTTAAATCCTTTAAAATCTTTTGTTTTAAAGACGCGCGCGTCTTTTAAACGAACGGAAGAGAAAGGTCGCGGGTTCGCCTCCTCTTGCCGCCAATTCTTTTGCTTTTTACTCCAAAATTCTTTTTTATTGCGAAGCTTCTGGTTTGACAATAAAATGTGAAAAGATTAGAAGGTCCAATAATAATTTTAAAGGACAAGTGACACTCAAAGACTCCGAAAATGAACAAAAATTGCCCGCCTAGTTCTGGTCTTCTTTCCGTTAAATTTTGATTTTGTGTAAAGTTCTAAAATAAATAAAAAGTGTTTTTAAAGGTTTAACAAAAGAAACGAACTTTTAAACGAACGGAAGAAAAAGGACTCTTTTTTTCATTTTCGTTTTTCGTTGCGTTTTTCTTGTGAACCATTGAGAATGGGCAAAAAATAAATAGAGCCTCGTTTTCCCCATGCTCGATAGGCGTTTGAATCTCCAGGGCGTGGAAAAATTGTCCGTCCAGATCCGATCATTCTCTTGTCAGAGAGTTTATAATAGCCAAACGCATACTTTGCTCCACTTTTGCGGTCGCAGCTAATCACAAACAAACAACAACCCACAGATTAACAATAGGTTAGCATTAACAATAGGTCAAAGACGATAAAAGAAGACGTCTAATGCTGGCATTCGTTGCTCTCTCCATTATCTTTCTCATCTTGCTCGCATGTGTGCTCAATTTTGTTATTTTGTGGAGAAGACAGAAAGCTCGAGCTCGAAATCAAGAAAAGTTTGAAGTAAATTGATATCGTATTCAAAACCTCTTTGTTTAGTGCTTTCCGAGTGCTGTACGATGATTTAATAAACGGAGGAACCATTCCAGCTCAAGATCGAAACAAGCAGATTCCCCTCGATCAACAAATCAATCAAATCGTTTACGATCGTTCGAAATTTGAAATTTCATGCGATGATCTTCAAATTTCTGCTCGAAAAACGGTAAAAAGTTTCTACCCATTGAATCTTTCGACTTTTTACAGTTGGGAAGTGGACAGTTCGGGAAAGTTTCAATGGGATTTTTGAAGAAACCGAATCAAATCAATAATTTCACTTCCGAAACTTTAAAGGTCGCTGTTAAGGTGAACTTCTTGACAAAAGATTCTCAAACATCACTATAGGAACCATTTCACGCAGCCTCAATCCGACAACACATCATCAACATTCAAATGCTGGCCGACGAGCTGAAGTTGATGTCCTTAATTCCACCGCATCCGAATGTGCTCACTCTGATTGGAGCTGTCACCGATCATCTGACTAGGTAAGTACCTAATAGCTTGACCAGAACGGAACTTGATATGTGATTCTGAACGCATCTTGTAAATCCAGTGGTCGTCTCTGTGTTGTCACGGAGCTATGCGCCCATGGGAGTCTCGAGAAATTTCTGAAAAACCTCACACGCAACACATTTTGTAATGAATTGAGAAAGGTTAGTAATTGAATTATCACTAACAAGGGACGGTTAACAGGGTGTGATGGCCAAATGACATGCGCCATATACTAACCGACGTAGAATTTTGCGCTCATTCCGAATCTGTTTTCTGTTTTTGCACCGCGGCACTCTGTCAAAAGTTATAAGCGTTGACCGTTTTGTATGGAATCGCAGAAAACAGACCTTGAGTTTATAAGTTGACTTGAGTTAGATGCTCTAGGTAGTCAATTTTGATCCAAAAACAAAAGTCAAACCCCGGAATCGAACCCTAGAATCCTCGCCTCATATTCAAACCTACCCGGCCACCACAAAATCTTTTCCCCTCTGGTAGGTCAACTTATAAATTCAAGGTCTGTTTTCTGTTATTCCATACAAAAATTTGCACGCTTCGAACTTTTAACAGAGTGCTGCGGTGCAAAAACGGAAAGTAGATTCAGAATCAGCGCAAAATTCTACGGTTAGTATATGGCTCATGTCACCCTGTTGACCGTCTCTTGTAAAACTAATATTTCAGGCTCAAAACAGTGAATACGTGGAACCGGATCGCAAAAATAGAGGAAACACAGTAGGAAAACGATCGCTAAAAAGCTAAAAAACTGTTTAGGTTGAATTCTCAATAATTAGGAAAATGTCTGTGAATGTAGTTACTGACGGCTATATTCCGGTATGATCTTGTTTTTTAGCTTGAATTCGAATTGTTTAGTGGACTCAAGTTGAAAGTCAAGAAGAAAAGCATGATGGAGACGAGAAGACACCAATTCTTCAGGTTTCTGAAAGTTTTGAAGAGAAACGAAATTGAATGAGATTTTAATATTCCAGACATTTCTATGCTCGACATCCGATCTTTTATCGTTTGCGATGCAAATCGCTAGCGGAATGGAGTTTTTGAGTGAAATCCCGGTAAGTCTGGCTGGCTCGAAGTCTGGCTTGAGATGGTTTCTTAACGGGCTTCGACGAATGAGACATGAGACAAGCTAAGCAAGCCAAAAGTTGTTTGACTTTCACCTCATATTTTGCTCCTTGACTTTTGTCAAGCTTGGCATCTCGCAAAAAGTCAACTTTAATTCTCAGGAAGGAAGAATGGGTAGTCATTGTGGCCTTTTCAAATGGTACTATGACCATTTGATGCAGTTTTTGATGCTGATTCCGAATCTGGGTTCAGATTCTGTTGAACACCTCGGAATTGCTAGATATTTAGCTTACAGGTTTTAGCAAGACCTTCAAAAGGCTTTTCATCTAAGCCAAATATCTCTTGATCCCAAAATCTGAAACCAGATTCGGAATCAGCATCTAAAACTGTATCATAGTACCATTTGAAAAGGCGTATCCTTTCCTTTCAGTGCATTCATCGAGATCTGGCCGCGAGAAATATTTTAATCACAGAGAAAAACATTTGTCGAATCGCTGATTTTGGATTGGCAAGAAGTGCTAACAAATCTTATTATCGGTTTGGGAGAAACTATTGATTATAAAAAGGTATTTTTAGAAAAGACTTCGAGAAGCATAAAAATGATCTTTTACCTTTGCAGTGGATGAGTCCGGAATCGATTGAAAGCGGATATTACACACAAGCGGTCCGCAATTCTTTTATGTACAGATTTTACGGATACCAAAGTACAAATACTAAAGTACTATAGTATTTTGGATAAAGGAAAAGATTCTGAAGTAAATTTGCAGTCTGATGTTTGGTCGTACGGAATCCTTTTGTACGAACTATTCACCCTTGGCGATCGTCCATATCCGGGAATTCCGCTCGAGGAAATTTATATGCGAGTTCGAAATGGAGAACGAAATAAAAAGCCCGAGTTTGTACATGATGATCTGTAAGTTGAAGGAAAGTTTAATAGAGAGAGGGAGAAGATATTTTAGGTACAACTTTATGCTGAAATGCTGGGATTCAAAGACAAAAGAGAGACCGTTGTTCAAGGTGATTTACGAGTGACTTCACTGACAATCGAACTTTTCCAATGTTAGGATTGTGTTCAAAAAATGCGAGAACATCTCGAGATGGTGTTGCCGGGGAAAGCCGAAGAAATTGAGGGAAAGCTAGCGAGTGAAGTTGATCGACTCAACTCGTATTCTGAGTGGAGAAATGGAAATACAGGAAATGTTAGTTCATTCTTTAATATTTTAACTAATTCTCTAATTTATTGTTTAATTCTTTAACTATAAAACAAAAGAATCGATTTTCAGTCATCAGAAAACAAGCGAGAGATCGAAAAACAGGAGAGAAGATATCAAAAAGATAAACATTTAAACTTTTAACATTTTATCAATAAACAATTTTTTAAAAATTTTAGTTTAAAATGATCAAAATGAACATTTAAACAAAGAAAAACATTAGTGTTTTAATAAATTTAGAGAGTTTTTAACAGACTTTAACTAGAAAAGCTGTAAAGAACAACTTGTGGCAAGCAAGTAAACAAGTCCTTTTATTCTATGAATCTTTGAAGTTAATTCTTTTTAGTATTTGAGTATTCAAATGCTCATTAACAGCTATTGCTTTACGCAAAAAGTTCCTCATTAAAGAATTAGTAAACCTGGAGGTGAGGTGTCTCTTTAAACATTTGATTGATCTTGTTGTTGGGAATTGTGTGCAGATGAGCGTGAATTGAGTGCCACAATCGAGCGAATACTACTTGGCACTCAACACAGCACAGCTCCTGTTTTGATGGTTTTCATTTTACTTCAAACTTTGGAAAGCATAGAAATATTAATCCGTTAGTTAATTTCACAAGATTTTTATATTTAAATTTGTAATGCACTTAGTTCTATCAGTTACATCACGTAGATGCTTGTGTAGCAGCCAGAGCATTCTCAAGTTGAATGAGTTTCCCAGTTAGCTCTTGACATTGCTCGCTTGCTATCGTATAGTTCAAAACTATTTATTCTTGCTTGTTAGGACTTCCATTCAAAAACTATTGCTAGATTTTGAGCTAGTGTTCACAGAAAAACAACAAATTCATTATTCAAAAAAGAAAGGGGAAAATGTTTTAAGAAAACCTATGGTAGATTTAAATTTTTGGATCTTTTCTTTGAGTACATGAAGTTCGAGGTCGATGTCCAGCTGGTGAAAGGCCCAAAAAGTGCAATGAAAGATCTTCGCGGTTTTACGAAAAGATTTCTACAAGGAAAATGAAGCTTTTTAGGAGAAAGAAATGCTAAACAAATGCCTATGAGAAGTGTTCTCCATTCTTTCGTCTCTCACCACCATCCGCTCTTCTCACATATTTCGTGATCAATGAAAAACCCTTACAAAGTAAACTAAATGCTTTTAAGTTACCTTTTAAACGCACATCTTTCATCTTTTATGCTAAACAAATGCCTTTGGGAAGTGTTCTCTATTCTTTCGTCTCTCACCGCCATCAATGTTCTTCTTATCGAGGTATAAGAAAAATTGATTGACGGTAAAATTGATTGATTTCAAGCTGAAAAACAATCTTCTCAATGGCTTTCAATAAAAAGCAGCTTTTGATTTCACAAGAAATCTTTCTCTTTCTGACCACCAACTGTCTCTCACTGTCATCTCACCACCACCATCTTCTCACATATTTCGTGATCAATGAAAAACCCTTACAAAGTAAACTAAATGCTTTTAAGTTATCTTTTAAATCTTTCGCACATCTTCCATCTTTTATCACAACATTTATCTTTTATTTAATTGTTGTTTATAAATCAAATGAAGTTAAACGATGTTTTTGATTTGTTGTAATTAAATGTTGTTTGTTGTTTGTTTGTTTATTCAATCTTTAGGTAATGTTTAGCATGAAAACTTGAAAAAGAAACAGATGACTTAGAATGAATAAAAAGAACACAAAACTTTTCTAAATTTTAGAGTTTTGGTGTTTTATTTCAAGTGAGTAACAAAACTAGTTTTTTTGATTAAAACACTTTGATTGAGTTGCTTTGCTTTGCATTGCATTCTCAAAGCCGGTTGCTACGAGATTTTTGTTTCTGGTTTTGAAATCAAAAGCTTCTTTTTCTTTTTAAAAAAAAAAAACAGAAAAATAAGTCTAAACTCGAGTCTTGCAAGTACACAAAAAGGTCCAATCACGCGGGTTCATTTCTTCGAAACAGTTTGGTGGACATGCACGGTGGACAGGCACATCTCCGTTCGACTTCTCTCCTTCGGTGCATCCGTTTTTGAGTTGATCCTCGCTGCACTTTCCGGCTAGAAAAATAAAAAAACTTTTGCTAATAACACCGTTAGTAATGTTTTACAAGGCTAGTTCTAACTGTAGTTTTGATAGTTTCTTTCAAAAACTACTATAGTTTTGCGCCAAAGAATTGTGGTAATCGTAAATTAAACATTTTCTAATTAAAGAAGTTATCTATGATTAATTATTTATGATTTCAAAGCGCACATGTTGGATTGGCCAAACGACGAACTGAATCGAAAACGGAATCACGGTTTTGTGAGACATGCTTTCAAATCCCAAAGTCAAAAAATAAGCATACTATCAGAAAAAGATAATCGATGTTCATTTTTAGATAAAGAAAAACGAAATGCTCAAAGAATAGCAGAAAACTGAGCGCTTTTGGGCTTTTGGCTTTTGCGCGATGTTTGATCTTCCTTAGTGCTTCTTCAACTCGCGTTTCTGTCTGCAAGCCTTGCGTTTTGCTGGGATGCTAAAATTGTTGTTCTTAAGATTGTTCTTTAAATTCTGATCAAATAAACTTAATAACTTAATAAAATCCGTTAAAACAATTTCAAAAGACTGTCTGAATGTCTGAATAAAAAAACCCAAGTCTGTAACGAGAAGGAAACAAAGCTGTAGAGAAAAGGAACCAAATTTGTAGAGAAAAGGAACCAAGTCTGTAACGAGAAGGAAACAAAGCTGTAGAGAAAAGGAACCAAATTTGTAGAGAAAAGGAACCAAGTCTGTAACGAGAAGGAAACAAAGCTGTAGAGAAAAGGAACCAAGTCTGTAACGAGAAGGAAACAAAGCTGTAGAGAAAAGGAACCAAATTTGTAGAGAAAAGGAACCAAGTCTGTAACGAGAAGGAAACAAAGCTGTAGAGAAAAGGAACCAAATTTGTAGAGAAAAGGAACCAAGTCTGTAACGAGAAGGAAACAAAGCTGTAGAGAAAAGGAACCAAGTCTGTAACGAGAAGGAAACAAAGCTGTAGAGAAAAGGAACCAAGTCTGTAACGAGAAGGAAACAAAGCTGTAGAGAAAAGGAACCAAATTTGTAGAGAAAAGGAACCAAGTCTGTAACGAGAAGGAAACAAAGCTGTAGAGAAAAGGAACCAAGTCTGTAACGAGAAGGAAACAAAGCTGTAGAGAAAAGGAACCAAGTCTGTAACGAGAAGGAAACAAAGCTGTAGAGAAAAGGAACCAAATTCAAATAGAAAATTCTTGGTTTCAAGTCAAAATAGTCTTGGAGTCACTTTTTGAGACCTTCATTTTGGAAGTGCTCTCCATCCAGGTCAGGTTGCATTGATTGGAAAATGTGGTAATCTGTAGGACTGAGGTCAGGAGAATATAGTGGATGGGGTAAGAGCTCCCAGTTCAACTCATGGATTGTGGAGCGGGTCAACTTTGCCGCATGTGAACTGGCGTTATCGTGTTGGAGAATGGCCTCTTTCAAATTGGGGCGCTTTACCTTAATTTCCTCTTCAAGCTTTTTGAGCTGGTCGCTGTATAATAGAGCATTGATTGTCTGCTTATTATCGAGAAGCTCTCAATAAATGACACCCAAGTGATCCCACCAAACCAATAGCATTTACTTCTTTTGGTGGAGGTCTGGGAGCACATCCTTTGCTGGTGTAACTCTCAGCCATAATCGTTCTTCAACTGTTACATGAGAGTATTCAACCTCAGCCGCAAAGAAATTCGGGGGTTTTCGGGATGAAGAATATCTGCGTTTTCAAGCTCTCTAGGTCTACCCGATTGGTCTTGGTCGTCGAGAGAAATCTCTTTATTTCTGAATTTATGAAACCAGTGTTCTATTATAATTTCGGATAACTGATCCCCATAACAGGATATACAGAGCGCACCATCACTAAACAAAATTTCGAAGCTTTCCTGAAGGCGTCAGCACTTAGTTTCCAAGCCAATAAATCTTTAGATTGGCGCAAAGATTCGGCTTGGCTGTCATTCGAGGGGTCACGTTGACAAGAACGAAAAACTTCGCTTATTTTATCAACGGTAACGATGAGAAAAGGTGGAAGCAATGACTGCTTAAGATCGAATAAAATCGTCCCAGCAACAAGTGTGACCGGAGCGGATGATGTTTTTTGGAACACGGCCGTTCACGAGGATCTCATTGTTGTTTGCAAAATTGTTTCGTTTAGACGGAAAATTTTCTCAAATTCAAACATCTAGGATATCTTCCATCAAGGTTCATTTCATCTCCGAGTCGCCGGTCAACGTCCAGCAGTTTGGATGAAAAGGGATCCAGAAATTAGCGGCGAGGATCCAGTTGGTTACTTGTTGAAATCTCCTTGCAAAGTTCTTTTAGAACAGAGTTTATCGGGGCGATGATATCACACTATTTTGCCGAGTTCACATGTTGGCTGACATGTTGGTTAACAAAATATGCCTTAAATCTATTCATTTACAGCTCAATGTTTTGGATTTACAACAAGACAGTGCTAGATGAAGGCAGCATTGTGCAAAGCATTGACGGCGATTCAGTGCTCTTAAAAATGACAATCAAGGTTTGTTTGTTTGTTTTTACAAATGTCAGTGAATAAAAATAGCCAGAGCTTAATTTTAGAGCTCGATCTTTTTCTGTTCTTTTTGTTTTTCTAGTTTAAGCCAATTCAGACTACAAATAGAGCTTTATCCTCAAACTTCAATCATAGAATATTTCGACCAATAACTCTGGTGACTACATTTGCGTTGCAAGAAACACTGAAACCAAACAGGAGTTTAATCAAACAATTGCGCTTGAGGTTTGAGACTTTTTTTCATTTGAAATTGTCTATTATAGATTCATGAAATGATAGCACCTGTATTGCTCGTCAATGAAACAGAAATAGTGCACATAAAAGCTGGAGAAAGCCAGCTATTAGACTGCAAAATGAGTGGAGATCCGACTCCGTTCATTTCATGGTTTGTTGTTTACAAGAGAAAACTTTGTTTGAAGTGAACAGAAAACACTGAATGGTTAAAGGTCAAAAAATGGGATTGCAATGAGGGATAGTGAAAGTCTTCTTGTAAATGCTTCAATTGTTCTTCCTAAAGCCGACACCGATGATAGTGGAGTCTATGAATGTGTTGGGAAGAATCGAGTGGGAGAAGTGCGACGGAGCAT